AATTAAAATCACAGAGAGGAAAACTCTCTTGTGTGTGACTGTTGTGTGTGCTTATGCACCAAACATAAGGTCGGAGTATTCGGCCTTCTTAGAGCGAGTGGGCGGGGTTCTGGAAAGGGCCCCGCCTACAGACTCCATGGTCTTACTGAGAGACTTCAGTGCTCATGTTGGCAATGACTGGGAGACCTGGAGAGGTGTGATTGGGAAGAACGGCCTGCCCGATCTAAACTCGAAAGGTGAATTGTTATTGGACTTCTGTGCTAGGCATGGACTGTCCATAACGAACACCAAGTTCGAACACAAGGATTTTCATAAGTGTACATGGTACTAGAGTTCCTTGGGTCAAAGGTCAATGATTGACTTTGTTGTCATTTCATCTGACTTGGGACCATATGTTCTGAAGAGAGGTGCTGAGCTGTCAACCAATCACCATCTGGTGGTGAGTTGGATCAGATGGCAGGGAAGACTGATGGTCAGACCTGGTAGGCCCAAGCGAATAGTGAGGGTGTGCTGGGAACGACTGTCAGAGGCCCCTGTTCGGAATAATTTTAACTCCCACCTCCGGGAGAGCTTTTCTCATGTCCTGGAGGAGGTAGGGGACAAGGAGTCTGAATGGACCCTGTTCAACATCTCCATTGTGGAAGCTGCCAGGCGTAGCTGTGGCCAAAAGCTTGTGGGTGCCTGTAAGTGCGGTAACCCAAGAACCCCCTGGTGGACACCGGTGGTGAGGGAGGCCGTCAAGCTGAAGAAAGAGGTCTTTAGGGACTGGATGGCCCGGAGGACTCCCGACTCAGCAGATAGGTACCGACAGGCAAGACAGGTGGCAGCAGCAATGGTGGCGGAAGCAAAATCCGGGGCTTGGGAGGAGTTTGGTGAGGCCATGGAAAATGACTTTCGGTCGGCCTCGAGGAGGTTCTGGACAACTGTCCAGCGACTCAGGAGCGGTCGGGGTGGCTTCGCCCAAGCTGTATTCGGGAAGGGTGGAGAAACTCTGACTTCAAATGACGATATTGTCAGTCGGTAGAAGGAGCACTCTGAGGAACTCCTTAATCCCAGAGACATGCCCCCTCACGTGAGTCAGGGCCAGAGGCTTCTGGCGTGTCAAGATCCATTTCCCTGGTGGAGGTCTCTGATGTAGTTGGCAAGCTCTTCAGGCCGGGGTGGTGGTCCCTACTTTTAAGAAAGAGGACCAGAGGGTGTGTGCCAACTACCAGGGTATCACACTGCTCAGCCTCCCTGGCCAAGGTGCTGGAAAGGAGACCATTAGTTGAACCTCAGATTGAGAAGGAACAATGCGGATTCGTCCCGGCCGTGGAACAATGGACCAGCTTTTCACCCTCTCACAGATTGTTGAGGGGGCATGGGAGTTTGCCAACCCAGTCTACATGTGTTTTGTGGATTTGGAGAAGGCTTACGACCTTGTTCCCTGAGATATCTTGTGGGAGGTCCTCCAGGAGTATGGGGTGCCGGGGCTACTACTCTGGGCCATTCAATCTCTGTACTCCTGGAGTGAGAGCTGTGTTCGTATACTCAGCATTAAGTCAGGCTCTTTCAGTGTTAGCGTTGGACTCTGCCAAGGAGTGAGCCTTGTCTCCACTCCTGTTTGTGATATTTCATGGACAGGGTGTCAAGGTGTAGCCGAGGTCAGGAGGGCATTATGTGTGGAGGCTGGAGGATGGCATCTTTGCTAATTGCAGATGATGTTGTTCTTTTGGCTGGATTGCATGGATGCCTCCAGCGCTCACTGGAGCTGTTTACAGCGGAGTGAGTGGAGGAGTTTAAGTATCTCGGGGTCTTGTTCATGAGTGATGGGAAGATGTATTGTTAGATCGGCCACATACAAGATCGTGAATACAAGTGGCGGAAATGAGCTTTCTTCGCAGGGTGGCGGGCTACACTCCACTTGATAGGGTGAGGAGCTCGGTCATCTGGGAGGAGCTCGGAGTAGAGCTGCTACTCCTCCGCATTGAGAGGAGCCAGTTGAGGTGGTTCGGGCATCTGATCCGGATGCCCCCTGGACGCCTCCCGGTGGGGGTGTACCAGGCACAGGGTGTATTTGGAGTCCCTGGGAATGAGCTGGAGGAAGTTGCGGGGGACAGGGTCATCTGAGATTCTCCGCTCTCCCAACTGCTACCGTGACCCTATCTGGACTAAGTGGTCAATGATGATGATGATGGTTGTAGATCTGAATTACTTTTGGCCCTAAATTTGAGGGTTATATATATACATATATATGATATTATATATATAGATATATATATTATATATATATATATATATAATGTATATATAGTATATATAGATAAATAGACGGTAATAATACGTAACAGCCTCAGGTCCTCTTTCATAATAAGGGTTGTGTTAGTAACACAGCTTGTACTGATGTGTTACTAGCACGCCTTGTATTGTACAGTATTAAAAAGTAAAATACCTTAAGCCAGTAAGTTTGCTACAGACTGTGCTGTCTTTACTGCAGTTGTTGAATTTTAGCTCAAGACACTGGAAACATGTTGGTCTTGATTCAATTCTGTATATTTTATACAAATAAATGTAAAATTTATATATCTGCATATACATTATAGTAAAGTATTGGCACACCTACACAGTACACTTACAGGAGCTTTTAGGACATCCCATTCTAAATCCATAGGCATTAATATGGAGCTGCCCTCCCCCACCTTGCAGCTATAACAGCTTCCACTTTTCTGGGGAGGCTTTCTACAAGATTTTGGAGTGTATCTGTGGGACTTTTTGCTCATCCAAAAGAGCACTTGTGAGGTCAGACACTGACGTTGGACGAGAGGGCCTGGTTCTCAATCTCCGTCCTAGTTCATCCAAAAGGTGCCCGATGGAGCCAAGTTGAAGGCTCTGTGCAGACCAGTCAAAATCTTCCACACCAAACTTACTCAACCATGCCTTTATGGACCTTGCTTTGTGCACTGGTGCACAGCCATGCTGGAACAGAAAAGGGCCTTCCATAAAACTGTTCCCACAAGTTGGAAGCATACAATTGTTCAAAATGTCTTGGTATGCTGAAGCACTAAGATTTCCCTTCACTGGAACTAAGGGGCCTAAACCAACCCTTGAAAAACAAACCCATAGCATTATCCCTCCTTCACCAAACTTTTCAGTTGGCGCAGTGCAGTCAGGCAAGTAACATTCTTCTGGCATTTGCCAAATCCAGATTCGTCCTTTAGACTGCCAGATAGAGAAGCATGACTTGTCACTCCACAAAATACGTTTCCACTGCCCCAGAGTCCAGTGTGCTTTAGACTACTCCATCTGATGCTTGCCATTGTGCTTGGTAATGTAAGGCTGGCATGCAGCTGCTCAGCCATGAAAACCCATGCCATGAATCTCCTAGCGCAGTTTTTTGTGCTGATGTTAATGCCAGAGGAGTTTTAGAACTCTGCAGTTACTGTGTGAGCAGAGTGTTTTTCACTTTAATGCACTATGCACCTCAGCACTTGGCGACCCTGCTCTGTAACTTTACAAGGTCCGCCACTTTGTGGCTAAGTTGCTGTGGTCCCTAAATGCGTCCACTTTTCAATAACACTATTGATCGTGGGATATCTAGGAGGGAAGAAATTTTGCAAACTGACTTGTTGCAACAGTGGCATCCTATTACAGTACCACGCTCAAATTCAGTGACCTCTTTAGAATGACCCATTCTTTCACAAATGTTTGTAAAGGCAGACTGCATGGCTAAGTGCTTGATTTTATACATCAGCGGCAATGGGACTGAATGAAACAATGAATTTACTGATTAAGAGGTGTGTCCCAATACTTTTGTTCATACAGTATACACATACACACACACACACACACACACACACACACACACACACACAACATGGCCAAAATTATGTGGACACATCCCCATCGCACCGTATATATAAGCTTACTGAACATCCCATTCCATAATATCAGGCATTAATATGGAGCTGCCCCTCTCCCCTTTGGGAGTATAATAACCACCATTATTCTGGGAAAGCTTTCCACAAGATTTTGGAGTATGTTTAAGAAATTATTCCCATTCAGTCAAAAGAGCATTTGTAGACTGAGGCTGATTTTGTATGAGAAGACCTGGTTCACACTCAACGTTTCAATTCATCCCTAAGTGCTCAATCGGGTTGAGCTCAGGCCACTGGAGTTCCTCTACAACAAACTTGTCTTGATGGACCCTGCTTTGTACACAGGGGCACAGTAATGCTGGGACGTAAAAAGAGTCTTCCCAAACTGCTGCCACAAAACTGGAAGCATATAATAGTCTAAAATCTCTTTGTATGCTATAGCATTATTAATGTCCTTCACTGGAACTAAGGGGCTTAGGCCACATGTCAGGCTCCGGTCGTCACGGGCCAAAGCACTGCTGACTTTAGCACACTGTCTCATTAAACAGACCTGATTTCATGATGCTCCTGAGCATGGTTCTTGTGCTGATGTTGCTCCCACAGAGTTTTAAACTCTGTAGTGAGTGATGCAATGGATAGGTCAATTTTTATGCATCACTCTCTTCAGCACTCAGCAAACCCACTCTGTAAGTTTGCGTGGACTACCGCATCATATCTGAGCTGTTGTTGCTTCTAGATGCTTCAATGCTCAAAAAGGTGGCAGAAGTGGCATTCTATGACAGTGTCTCATCACTGAACTCTTCAGTATGACCCATTCTACTGCCAATGTTTATTTATGGACGTTGCATGGCTATGTGCTTGATTTTATACACCTCCTAGTAATGAGTGTAGCTCAAACACCTTAAGTCAATAATTAAAGGTGCTGTCCATGTACTTTTGGCCATAGAGTGTACATACATTCAAAAGGTCTGCACTCACATCAAAACAAAGTTGTGGTCATTTTGTAGTTATGTCCACCATTTTGTAGTTATTTATGGCCCATTAACGCTATCTTATTAGGAATTACCAGTCTTGAGAACAGACATAAAAGCTAAGAAAACGTTTACAATAAACTTAGAATAGACCTTAGAGAACTTATGTAAATACCTGAGGGCACTGACAGTGAGCGAAGCTCTGGTCTCCTCCAGCATAAATCCTCTTCACACAGTAGAGCTGTTCAATCTCTTAAACAGACAATTTAGACATATGATCAACTGGTTTTCTTTATGTAGATACAGATGAAGAAAAAACTTATAAATCCAATAATGAAACAATAAAAAAAATATAAAACAATATATATTTAATTGTAAACTGTATGTAAACTCTCTTGAATGTGTTTTGCTCCTGCAGTTTGGTACAAAAATAAATAAATTGAGTGGTTCTCAACTTTGAACCTGGAGGCTTCCTATCAAGTGCCTTTTAGTGTTTTCCTATTGTAACACAAACATTCCAACTCAAGAAGGGGTTCTAATTAGCTGGATCAGGTGTGTTGAGAGCAGGAATAACACTAACATGTGCAAAGCAGCGGCCCTCCAGGACCAGGACTGAGAACCACTACACTAAAGCAACTGTTAAAGGGGACAAATTATGCTCATAATTTTATATTTGGGGTCTTCTAGAATAGATTTACAAAAAACACTTTCGTTTTCTCATACTGCATACCTCATTCACCCTCTGAAATGCTCTTTTAGAGCTCCTGTTCTTTAAGCTCCCCTCCCGATGAGCCCAGTGTACTCTGATTGGTCAGCTCACCCACTCTGTTCAGACTGGTCAACCACCAGAGCAGCATCCTGCTATAAGTTCCACCCCTACCCCACCGTGGGTACTCTTACAACGGCGTTACCACAGGCTGAACCTCAAAGTCTGGCAGATGAAGTTTGTAGACCCAATCCACCTTTACAAGCTAGACTGGAACAAGACATTTCAAACTGGTAAGTTTTTACTTTGTAGCTCTCGTGTGAGGGTGTGACAGGCCGGTATGCAGGCAATAAGGATTGTGTTACGAGACTGCATCATCTTGTAATAAAGGAAAAGAGCTGGAATTCCAATGAGGCATTTCAGTCAGCTAAGAAAAGTGGTTTCTGTGGGAGAAAGTTACTAACTCTGGCTTTGTGACTTGGTAGACCGTTTACATGCATAAAAAGCTATAGCACACTAAAAGAAAGAGAAAACCATTCAGTCACAATAGGTCCCCTTTAATAGTGCATCAGTCTAACAAAGATCTGTTTAAAGCTTTTAATTAAACAGATGCAATCACCAAGTGCATGTGATCAGTAAGTGCACTGACCTGCCTCTATTGGTGTGGGGTCATTGTGAGCTTTCCATAGGCCTTTCACAGGAGCAGGGCTCTTTCTGTTGCAGGTGGACCGTGTGCCGAGTTGACCATTTCCACCAAGCCCAAAAGAATCAATCTTTCCAGAGGATGGGATAAATGCTAAGGTGTGTTGCCTTGCATATTAACACAAACAGGGCATTATTATATTTTGTAATTATGATATCATTAAAATAGAACTCTTGAATTGTACTACAACTAATTAATAAGTAATAATAACAACACAACTATTAACAACCACAAAAAACTGTGCAAAAGTCAAAAGACCACCCTTTCTTTATTTAGCTTCCAGTTAAAACCAGTTATTATTTTTTAGTGTCAGGAAAAAAACAGAAAAGATATCACAGGAAATGTCCACCCTTTGTCTTTATTAGGGATCCAAATGGTGTAGGTGCATGGAACCCTTTTGTTTTGACAAATTCTGGCAAATTAAATTAATTATGGCAAATTAAAGCCTTTTGATAAACTCTGACTTTCTTGTATTTTTCATCCTCTCTCTGTAAATAAGGCCCAAACTGCATTAGGCCTTGTTAGGTAGGAATTGTTGGCTCAAACTGCTTAAGAGGCTGATGCGTGCTTAAACCCGCAGATTGCTACTTGCAGCTATATTTCATCTTCTTTTTCTGCCGTAAAATGAATTGTTCAGACCAAACTGAAAGTCTTATAGACATGAAACTCTGTTATTCAGTCTGATCGGCCAGATGGTGGCAAAGCCTCAAACATTTTTGGGTAATATCTCTTGTCGTAGAGGCAAAATTCTTTTTTTTTCTGATTAGTTGTCTCATGGCACACAAAAAAACAAAACAACCATATAGCTCTCCCCATTTTGAGATAATTTGCGTTTTATGCAAAATTGCACACAATTTTGAGTGCGAACTAATCCCTGGGTTTTCATACAATCTGCACAACTTTGGTGTCAAAAGAATCCTAAGAGACTGAATGTTAATAATTATCTATATAATTAAAAGTTGGAATTTCAACACTGTGAAGTGTCCAGGCTCCTCCAAGAAACAGGGGTGGAGCTCATATTGCTAACATGTCAAGCAATCCATCTGAGCAGAGTTTTATGACTCCATTATCTGCAATTCACAAATACATTGTCTGATTCATTACAAAATCGGAAAAGACATAAAGAATCAAACTCTGAGGAAGCATGTCAAGTGTGGTCTAAATCAACCTCTAGGTGATGCTACAATATGTAATCATATATCAATTTTGTAAAATTAACATATCTCTCACTCAGTTTAAATTAAAGCAATGCAAATGGTGACAAAATCCTCAAGTCTTCAGTCTGAACAACTTTGCCCTTAGATGTGTTTGACTAAAATGTATCGGAATCTAACATTGTGATTTATATATTTTCACAACAGTAGAGCAATGATAATAAGGCACTGTCCGACTGACACCAAACATGGCATAGGCTCAATGCCTAATACTGAAACAAGGTGCAAAGTGTAGAGGACATATCTTAATAGAGGGTGCTGAAACGTTAATTCCACATCTTGAACATGTTTGCAAATTCATCACATTATAAAACAATAATTTCCTGTATGTATTCCAAAAAACAACAGAAATTGGTTCAGTGTGTCTCACACTATGCACGACCCAAATAAGTCATTCTGCAGCATGTACAAGTCATTTACAGCCGAAGTTGCCAAATTGATTGAGTTAGTATATTTGCACCCCATCTAATTGACTCCTAAGTCAAATTTAACAATTTATAAAATTACTAAAACAATATGCAGACCACAAAAACAGGAACCTTTGGTTTAACATCTTTCATAATATGAACACAGCAAAGATGAAGTTCAATTACTGCACTTTTTAAAAGTTATTGGCAACCAAAGTTACCAAATCAGCTTATTTGTACCCCATCAGACTGTCTCATGAGTCAAATTCAATACGTCATCAAATGACCATTTCCTAATAAGAAGACCTAAAAAAAGACCATAATTTGGTGTAAAACCTGCAGGATTTACTGTAGCATTTTAACATAAAAGGCAGCCAAAGCTACCACAAACAGTTCACTAACCTACTAATTTGCACTCCATCCAAATGAACCATGAGCCAAATTCAATAGATCACAACATGACCACAACCAATAATAAAAAAAAAAACAGTAGATTCTTGTTTAAAGTGTCTCAGCCTATGTGATATAAAAAAAATATGCAGCCATTTTATTACAGCATTTTGAAGTAACTGACAGCCAAAGTTACCAAATTAGTTCATTTAGTTAGTTCTGGATTCCATCTGACTCATGAGCCAACACATCATAAAATCACCATTTCCAATAAGTAGACCTAAAAAAGACCACAATTTGGTGTAAAGTCTGCAGCATTTACTGTAGCATTTTAACATAAAAGGCAGCCATAACATGACAACTACCAATAAATAGATAAAAAAAAACAGTAGATTCTCCTTTAAAGTGTCTCAGACTATGTAACTGGCAGCCAAAGTTACCTAATTAGTTCATTTAGTTAGTTCTGCATTCTATCTAATTGACTCACGAGTCAAATTCAACACATTATTAAATGATTGTTACTAAAAAAAATTCATACTAGTCATACTATGCATAAACCAAAGATGAAGTCCTTTTATGGCAACAATAATTAAATAACTGGAGGCCAAAGTTAACAAATCACTTTAATAAGTTGTTTTTCACTCCACCTGATTGACACTATTAAATTCAACACATTATAAACGGACCACTACTAATAAGCACAACAAAAAAACAACAGCGTTTCAGTTAAAGTCTGTCACACTATGCACAAACTAAAGATAAAGTCCATTTACTGCAGCATTTGCAAAGTACAAGACCACATTTACCAAAACAGTACATTAAGTTAATAATTTGCATCCCATCCAATTGACTCAGGAACCAAAAAATATTATGCAGCAAAAGCTTGTTTGATTGACATGAAATATGTTTATGCTACTACTTTGTCCTATCTTGAATCAGGTTCTATTAGATCCATTAAAATATGTCTAATTGAAGTTCCACAGGTAGTTGAAAGCCTTTAAATTTTTCAATCACGATTAAACTTCATATGTATCTAAAAACCTCTTCTGACATGTACCCGAGGAGCCAAAATAGTAAATGTTGGGCATACCTGAAAAAGGCAGCTTGGGCCCTACAAATGGCTGCTTGCAGGCTTCAGCTTAAGTTTATGCTGTTGTCCAGATCTTCAAATACTGATTTTAATACTTTTGTCGCCACGTCAGCCAAGTAACTTCGCTATCTGGGTTTGCTATGGTTATGAGACTGCTAGTTATAACTCTTTTTTTCAAAAGATTTCGTTATTGTGTTTCATAGTTCTTTGGGTGGTGAACTGTGCATATTTGCACATCAGACCGAAATCTAGCTGATCTCCTGAGCCACGCGTTTTTTTTTTTGTTTTTTGTTTTTGTATCACTACTAGTGATCAACTTCATGTTGAATAACGAGTTATTTTTTAATTTTTTTTTAGATATCTTTGCTTTTTGCTACTTTATAGTATTATTTATTGTTCAACATTTTGCACACATTTGCAAATATAGGTCTGTTATGGTGAACAGTGATATGCACCTATGCTTAATGTGGGTGTATTTAGATGTATGTATGCACGCACACACAAATTTCAAAGTTCTCGGCTCTGCGGGCTCTGCTGCTGCAGCCATGCTATGCTATCAGGGGTGTTGCCTAAGGGGATCTGGCTCAAAGTTGAGTCATCGCTGTTGTGCTCATGTCCAGATGTTCAGAGGACTTTCTTCTTTGTGCTTTTTATATTACATACAGTCTAAATGACAGATTTCATTCTCCATAATGTGGACAACGGAGCTTGTGTAAGATTGCTTTCTTGGAATGTTAAAGGCCTGAACTCCCTGGTTAAACGTTCGAAAATCTCTGCTCACTTGAAATGCTTGAAGGCTGACGTAGTATTTTTTTTTACAAGAAACACATTTAAGGAATAACGATCATTTCAGGCCATAATTTCCTTGGGTGGGCGACATTTTTCACTCAACATTCAATTCCAAAACCAGGGGAGTGGCAGTTTTAACTAAAAGAGGTATTCATTTTATTCTTGACAATGTTATCACAGATGCGGGTGGTAGATATCTTATTGTTTGACGATCCAAAATTTATACATAAGCTATTTAGTTCCATTCCCTCCTTAAACTCTCATCGCCTGATAATGGGTGGAGATCTGAAAAATACCATTGACCCGGCTCTGGATCGATCGGATTCTCATTCACCACCTCATTATTTGATGTCCCAGTCAGTTTCTGATTTTATAACTAGATTTGGTATTATCGATCCTTGGAGATTCTATAACCCAGGTGTTAAGGAATTTTCTTTTTTACTCTCATCCACATCAAACCTATTGCCGCATTGATTATTTTTTGTCAATAATTCTCTTATTTCTAGAGTTATCTCTTCTAAGTACTACCCAATAGTTATCCCTGATCATGTCCCTCTCTCTATAAATATTACATTTTCAAATTGCCCTTTTTCCCCAGTCCCCTGGAGATTTAGCTCATTACTATTAGCAGACGATTCATTTAACAATTTCATCTCATCCTCTATTGCTGATTTTATTGCTACAAATAAGAATGAAACACTTCTTTTTCTCTCTTATGGGAATCTCTCAAGGCTTATTTACGCGGTCAAATTACTTCCTTCACAGCACACCGAAGTAGATTACATAAACGTAAGATGCAAGATCTATTGAAAGAAATCGCTGATTTAGATAAGCTTAACTCGGTTAATCCCACACCTGCTCAATTGAAACGTCGACTCGATTTACAAGCCGAATTTGATCTTATTACCACAACTGAGGCTGAACAATTGTTGTTGCAGGCACGCAGTAATTATTATGAGTATAGCGATAAACCGTCTAGGCTTTTTAGGTATCGAGGAGATCTCCGTTTCTGTCAGAGCTATGCAAGCCAATAAGGCAACTGGTCCTGACGGCATTCCAGTGAAATTTAAAAAAAAATTATTGACAAGTTGGCTCTCCTTCTTTTAACAGTTTACAATGAGTCCCTGGCATCTGGGGTGCTACCTTCAATTCTTACTGAAGCAACTATATCCCTTCTTTTGAAGAAAGATAAGGGCCCTACTTCTTGTGCCTCTTAT